ATTCTATTCCGCTTCGATTTCCAAATTGCTTCAAATACGAAAGAATCGACGATTTTTCGTGTCTTTTGCCAGCTAAATTGTCAAAGCCATTCTTATTCCACGCACTAATTTCATTTGAAAATAGTAGGCGAGCCAACAAAACAATTTTTGCATTTACAGAGCCATTTTATCGTGAAAATGTCGAACTAATTTTTTCATTGAAGTGTATATATTTAACTTAAACATTGGCCTTTCTCTTTTAATAATGTTTTCTTTTTCATTATATGATCTCGAGCCAAAACTTTTTTAAAATAAATTTTCAATATCGTAATTACATTCTGAATCGCTAGCCATAACATTAAGGCTAAAATTAAAAATAAAATTATAAAAACTTACTTTGTGAAATAAAATATGTGATGGATATACAATTATACATACCTGGTACAAAATATTCTTCAATTGTATAAATATACTTTTAAAGAAAATTATAAATAAATATAGTTTTGTAAAGAAACGTACATAAAAATAACATAAAATATTTTTTACTCTTTAAATCTAATGTCAAATGCCTCTTTTGTGGCATCACTAGTATATTTCAAAGGACGCGACAGGGTTGTTGTAAATTTTAAACGTTTCTCACCATGGCTGTAAAAATCTAAATTTGTTAAATTTAATAGTCATTTGTTTTCTATTTCGTTTGAAGACCAGGTGTCCACGGAAATTTCCAAAATTTACAACTTTTCGGTCACTTTCATTGAACTGGAAAAATTTCTGTTTATATTACGTCTAATATTACGAAGAAACCAGTTCCCACTGTACTCGGCTAGATATTGGTCCGGTTAAGCTTTTGTTTAAGTAAAACGGCGCTTCCACCGTTTCCAATGACGGCACGACACAGAAGCTTATCGTTTCTTTAGTGAATAATATAAAATTCAAATAAATCACTTTGCTTACGGACTAATAGAACGTGTAAGTTCTATTGGTCTCATTGAAACAAATTTATTTTTTGGAATATTATATATATATATATATATTATATGTATATATATTCCAAAAATAAATTCGTATTAATGGGACCAATTAAATGTAAATATTAGTGTTGCAACGAATAGTATATTCGGCCTCTGGTCGAATACCGAGCATTCGGCCTGGAGCGTGGCCGAATAGCCAAATATTCGGCCAAACTATTCGGCTTGATTTACGCACGTACGAAAATTGGCGCGCAAACCTCACTATGGCAAGGATCCTGTTCTCTATTGGCCCGTTGTCACTACGCTTCGCCAATCGCGTTAATTCTTGATAGTTGTAGCGGACAGACAAGAGCGTCATGGCAGTATGCGATAAATGATAATATCAAATGTGAATAAGAATGAAATGACCTACACGTGTAAATAACGGAAAAAGGACAGAGAAGGACCGTGAAGTGAAAATGTGAAAATAAATATGAAATTGAGTTGATAACATAATCGAAGAAGTCTAAGCTTATTGGCACGAAATTTGAGGCCGTCAATGCCAAACAATTGTTGTCATAGACTTCGGAAAGCTAAATGCTTGTAATGAAAGTCACTTACCGTGCACGGGCGAAAGCCTGGGAACGTTCGGGCTATCAAGCAGTCTCGAATCTGTGAAATCATAACTGTGACTTATATCGACGTCCTATCTGTCTCTTTTCTCCGTTATCACCAGGCTGAGTCACGTAATTATAAAATGGAAAAACTACGACGGAAAAGTGACGAATCGAAAGTATTGTGAGCGCATATTATAATGTATGCATAAACATACGTGGACTAGAGAGATGGAGGAAAGAGAAAGAAAAGAGCAAAGAAGAGCGCTTAAAAAGGATAGGAAAAGTCAGACCCTCACATGTGTGCGACGATTCTCGAACGAATAGGTGTGTACGTGTGCTGATCTTTGTAATTATAAATTGTGAATACATATTACTAATATTATTATTTTTTTTTATTTTGTACATGTTATAAGCTATAAATAAATATAAGCAAACAACACTAACTCGACAACATTAAATCTAAATACCAAAACGATTAATTTACTGTGTTNCCTTATAAAAAACTTAGTCAAATAAAACAATTACAGAAATATTAAAATAAATCACTTCGTTAATCACAAAATTGGACGAATATTAAAAGCGAAAACTAAACACGTGCACACCCTGCTCTATGTAAACAGAGAGGTCAGGTCTCATGCTGACGTCACTAACTTGGCATTCCTGGCTAACATTGTAGAATAGGGATCTGGCTATCCTTGTAGTATATAGTCCTTGGGTCACCACTGATCTAGAGTGTATATATATATATATTATATGTATATATATTCCAAAAATAAATTCGTATTAATGGGACCAATTAAATGTAAATATTAGTGTTGCAACGAATACACATATGCATACACATATACATACATATATATTATACAGTAGAACCTCGATTATCCGGACCTCTATTATCCGGATTTTCGATTATCCAAATTGTTCAAAATAAACAAAAATTTTACGAATTTGCTGATCTGCACTTGGCGAATTAAGACACTGTTTATGTACATGATGGAATGCATAACATTTTTTGTTTCAACAACGTCTCACCCGGCACAGTGGTCGTAAACTCTTAAATATATTTTGCGTCGTAATAAAAATATAACTTGACATACGTATTTATAAATAATTCATTTTCAAATTACATCATTTCAATGACCAAGGGGGGCGTAAGTCATGGGCAACGTGGGCCACCGCCTATTCCTCGCGCCTCGAAAAGAAAACGTGTTGCATTACTTAAAAGCAGAGAACACGACGAAAAAATTTTACTCGTCATAAAACGATAAATAGTTTGTCAAATTTTTATTCATAAAAATGCTGTTTCAACTGCTTTTTATTTTATAAAATCCAATCTCTTGAGCCACCATAGCGCCTTTTAAACAATAGCTAGTATGTTAGCGCTGGTCAGTAGTAGACCAAATTCAATACGGAACGTTTGTTTTTTTGAAAATTTGATTACTATTTAAACACAGTATTTATTTTTAATATTACCGATACGTCATCGAAAAGAAAACGTGTTGTATTATCATTAAAAGACAAATTAAAGTATTTGTTTCGATTATCAGGATTTTTTTCTTATCCGGCCTACCATCATCCCCAATTAGTCCGGATAATCGAGTTCTACTGTATTTACATAATCAAAGAGAGCTTATAATGTAATGCGGAGCACGCGGTCGTTGTAAAAATCCTTTGTTGTTATACAGTAGAGCATCGATTATCCGACCCCCGATTAACCATCACCTCGGTTAACCGACCGCGTTCTAGTCCTCAAATTCAAATGTCCGCTAGTGATGTGGCACTACAATATTTGGCTATATCTTTGCTACTTTAATATTACTTTTACTGTTTTAGCTGGCAACACTGGATCGACCATGAAAGGGAGCCAGTATTTAAACGAGGCTTAATTTTCTAATTTTTAACAATACAATAGCGACGATTATTATTTTTAAAAAAATTTGACAAGCTTAACATGGAGGAAAATTCAACGCAAACTGGGTTAATAGCGATATACTAAAATACAAATATACTAATTATATGGGATATAATATACTTACCAACCCCAGTCCCCAATTGAGTCGGATAATCGATGCTCTACTGTATTTATATTTGTTTTATTTGTTTTACTGTAATATATCTTATTTTATTATAGTTTGTTTGATTCGGTATTTAATCAACTATTTAAATGGTTTCTATTTCCTTTATTTTGAATTTAGCATAATTTAAATTCCTTAGTAATTCGATAACAACAATCGTAAAATAACTAGTGTAAAGTTTCGTATAACATTAATAACCTAATGATGACCCATTGAGTGAGTTGAAAACGTTTGTTCAACGTAATAGAGAAAGTCCCTCAGTAGTAAGGTGTGTTTCATATACAATATATATTATTTACTTAATTTTAGAATTATACATTTGAATGAATTTTTAAAATAAAAGTGAATTTTTCTCAACATTAATTTAATTAATTAACAGTATTAAACAGAATTATTCCAGGACGATTGATTTTTGTAGTTTTGATTCTGTCTGCAAGGAAGACCCTTTTGTGAGATTAGCAGTGGGCCACTGGGCTCATCCCAAATGACCACTTACTCTGCAACAGGTTGGTAAAACCCGTTCTCGGCTAGTCGGATGGCTAGGAGGGCAAAAATTTGAGTGGGGAGTGCGTCGGTAAGTCGGCAGGTGTCCTTCAGAGACAGGAGACAGGTTTAAAAACAAAACAAGCATTTAGGTTAAATGCGATTAAATAAATTCACTGTACAAAAGGGACGCTCTAATAGCTTTACCTGCTAGTCTGAGAGAGAGTTCACAAAGCTCTAAAAAGTACAGATACCTGTATGCCGATATGTCTAAAATGCGTTCGTTGAATATGTTCGTTAATGGCGATGGAAGTTCAAACGGCTGTGGTTGGTCGTATGTCCTTTCGGTCCGGAGTATGGAGACAAATATGGCACATCTACCAAGTATAACTTCCGAGGGATCGCCCTGAGCTTCCGGGGACTCGAGCTTTTATACGTTATTCGTGGGAAATGAGTCACGTGATCGACTTCAGTTGACACTTACGGTGCATTCCGATCAACTAACTGTCAACTTTCCCATCATAATGTGAAAACAATCGGTGACCTCCGATATACTTCTCACCAAGAGTGGGTTTTTCCATCGGAGTTGTTTACAAAGATTTTTCCGACATCGGCGTAAAAATCGCGGATTTCACACTTTCATTACTGCGGAGACAGATTCGTAACAAAACTCTACGCAGTGATGACATAAGTACGCTGGTCAAATCTTCCCCGAAAATTTTCAAAGGTGATCAAGACTCGAACACGAGTCTTTCTGATCGGCGAACTGGCATAATTGATGGTAGTAGTAACTTTGCCGTCGATTAATTTGTCAGTTACGCGCGATTCGGGTCTAAAAACATCATCAGTTTTTCTTATTCAGTTCAATGAAATTCAAACTGTTCGTAAGGCAAAAATCACTTTAATGTATTATAATGTAAAATTTCTGAACTACAAATACCTAAAAAATTATGTCCCGCAATGTTTAACTCGTATTTATTTCACTTTAAGTTTCGAAGTTAATGGTCTGTGTGATATATCTATTTTTCAAATGAAAACTTTTCGCTATTAGAATTTTTTACTGTTTATGATATTAAAAAACGGCGTTTACAGTAAATTAACTTATTGTAATAAAGCGAGTGACAATAACTGATCTTTGTGTGAACACGATTACTTGTCATGTTTCTGAATACACTTATTCTAACAATAAACGAACTCTCTGTAAATAATAGAAATGAATGTTATCGCCCTAAATAACTCGTACTTAAACAACTAAAAGTAATTATGAATAACTATTACTTTTTATCAATGAAATTTGAATTAATTTTACAAACCCTCTTTTTTCGGTACATAAAATCAACTGTTTTATGTACAAAATTAAAGTTACAAAACCAAGAAAATCAAACTTTAGAAATTTCTTGTTTCTTGTTCAATAATATCTAAAATACGAGTATTACATATTTTTCGAAGAAATGTACTAAAATCATTCCCATAATAGACATTATTCATTACTATTATGTTGTTTAATAATATGATACTTTAAAGAACATTTAAAACGAAATTTTTCTGAGCAATGATTACACGAGAATGGTTTCTCTCCGGTGTGAAGACGAAGATGTCCTATCAGATGATGTTTTTCAGTAAAACTTCGGTTGCAATGGTCGCAAGAGAATGGCTTCTCCCCTGTGTGGGTTCGAAGATGTCGAATGAGAGTTCCTTTATGTGTAAAACGTTGTTTGCAATGATCACAGGCAAAGAGTTTCTCTCCAGTGTGAATCCTTCTATGATATTTTAACCCACTTTTCGAAACGAATTCTTTCTGGCAACTGTCACATCGATATTTCTCATTTCTTGACTTCTGATTGTTTAAACCTATAAAATATGATAAAATCATTAAAACAAATCTCCCTTCAATTTATTGCTAATCGAATATGTAAAATTCTAAATTTAAGCGCGCTGCTTTTAGAAGACTGTTAAACTTGTGTGTGCAGATAGAAAAAAAGAATTTTCTTTCTAGGAAGATTCTTTAAACGAAAATTGATACCTCACAAGTAACTAGACTACCCCACATGAAACAATAAATCATAAGCAAATTGCTTACACTAGTATTTGCAAATATTTCCAAGCAGTATACACATACTATCACAAATTAATGTAATTTATACATTTATCTCAAAACAATTTATTATGAAGAGTATTTTAACAAATAACATATTTGGAAATGATTTAAAATATCTTCATTTCATTTTCTCTTCATATGCTTGGCATATATTCTTTCTCTTTTCATATTCTCGTATAATTTCTTATCACTTCCTCCAATTTAGTCTTCTGTAAACAGAAGTTAAACGCATTCCTCGATTCATCCTTTTTCCTGGAAACAATTCTTCATTTGTTTCTCTTCTCTTTATCGCTTAATAGTGAATCTGAAAATAAAATTCTGAATGAAATGAAATACGAGAATGACGTCGTTCATTATTTTATAAAACAAATGAAATATTTCAAATTAAATAATTTTAGAAATTCTTTCTTGGACACGTCACGCCACAATATTAAAGCTGAGTTCAAAATCTGAAAAATAAACGTTTTTAAGTTAATTTTCTTAAACAGAAATACATATGCATGTGAAATGCATTAATTAATTATTAATAAGATATTTAAAATACTATGTTTAAAAACAAATAGTTCAGATAATACTGTATTTTACGAAGATCCTTTCCTTTTATTTTCATATTTCACAGCTTTGATTGAAGAATTTGAAATTTTAAAAACAACCATTTCCTAAAAATTGTGGTTTTAACAATGCCTAAGAAAAAATGAAAGATGTACTTACGTTTGTTTACAATAAGTCAAGAAACTTCATTCAACAGAAAAACGTAAAGCACTTTCAATACTTGTTAGCACATTCGACAAACCAAACTGTAGGGCCATTCGATAAAGAAATGTTACCTGAGAAATCGTCTTCAGCGACTTAGGAAATCTTCTTTTTTTCTTTCTAACGTAATCGTGAACGAGGTTTTCTTCAGATCAGCACTATATATCATTACTTTAATTTCTTGAATGTTGAAATAAAGTGACGACTATCAAAGAAATGATCAAAGACAAATCCATTTCTGCATGAGAATTCCATAAGCTTCCGTTCACTTTGTCGTACAGAAGAATATACAACAGAATCGTCACTCTGTCTTCGCATACGCGAAGAATTGAGGTATGAACAGAGTGTAAAACTATCCTCGACTTTTCTCTACACGAAAGACAACGAAAAGACGTCAGTAGTAACGAGGGAAGTGTTGCGTGTTAAAGCTATTTATTGTTGTTTTTTCTTCTCTTTTCAGTTCTGGCAGAACCAATGACGGCACGTAAATGAATCAAATCTTTCACGATTCCTTCAAAAAGATTTGTTTCATCAGGAAAGAAGTTAGAATCCATTCAATAATTAATTAAAATACAGTTTACCACTTGTCTATCTGAATGGGCATTTGCTACTTTTTTCTTTATATGACCTGTCAATTTTGTGGAAAAAAATAAGTGTTACCATCTAATATTTAAATTCCAATTGTTTTCATTTCTGTGTTTTTTTTGAAATTTACAATTGAAATTCGAAAAATATTTCATTCGAATATTATTGAAAATGGATGAACACTTTTAAACTATAATTATTTAAAATGATTAATAATGAGGGTTGATTTATTATGACACGGTCACAATGCCGGGCTGCAGATTTTTATCGTATTGATAATTTACTACATTTAAAATATATGCTCAACTGCAATTAGCAGTGCTCCCGTACATCATTCCTTTCTTTTAACAATAGAGTCGTGCCGATCATCTATAACTGGTTTCGGGGGAACTTTTGAATCAAAATAGCGTAACTTCCGGTTTGCAGCGGAATTTCATATACAGGTAATCCTCAGATTTAACCTCCTGCCTCTAAGAATTCCATATCTGCTCTCGTCTTTCATCTAACTCCGTTCTGGATATTAAGAAAGAATTGACGAACGACAGTTGGTATTTATAGGTCTTCAATTCTTTTCGTATTGCAAGTTAATAACTTTATAGTGAAATATACGGTAGTCATTAAAATAATCTGTAAAATAAGAATTTAGTTAAGAAAACACTCCGCATTTAAACCCGTTACGGATTTTTATAAATTTTTGGAAATATTTCTGTAGGCGTATCAAAGAATTCTCTATTGCAACAACCAACTTGTTCCATTGTCTTTTAATCAATAATTAAAACAGCGTCCGACGGACTGATTATAAAGTTTTACCTTTGAATGGCCGAGAACTTTTCTTCCATTTTTCCTCGGAACAATTTCCTAATCGAAAATAAGTTAATAACACAAAATATTTCTCGTCTTCTTTCTTGTCGTTTACTCAAACGTCTCTTAACGATTGGGTTGTAACGGAACGTTTTTCAAATTTGAATAAATCCAGTGGCGCCGTCTGTAATTCCAGAAGGAAGAAAATTCCATTTTTGTCGATATTTTGATCGTAAGATCAAGCATCAAATTTCCAATCATATTTTACTCCAACTCTATTTATTAGGAATAATATCTCATTAAAAATTTACTATAAATAAATGTTTTCTAATGTTAATATACAGTGCCGCGGGTTAATTTTTCGACCTGACGACGGGATTATTATAATAAATATTCTCTAATCATTTATTTTTCAATAACATCTTATTTATATTAAATTAGTATTAATATTCAATAATTATTATGAAAATTTTTGAATATTGTAATCTATACTAATGTTACTGTGAATGACCGAAATGGGGGGAATGTCAACATTCACACAGTTGTCTGTGGTGAATGTCAACATTCACACAGTTGTATGTGTCGACATTCACCGGCGAATGTCGACATTCACAATTATTGGTCTTTCACAGTAACACTAATATTATAAAGAGGTAATGTTTGTATGTATGTATGTAAGTTTATTTGCAGCAGGTAATCTCCGAAACTACTCATCCGATTTCAAAAATTCTTTCACCAATATTTAGAATGGAACCTCAGGGCGGACATAGGCTGTATATTATTACGTTAAACATTCATATAAATTAAATGATATCATCTATGGTTAAGGCTTTTTTGTCCAACAGATGACGCTACGAGTACGACGCCCTAAGTTTGCTTTTCTGTGAAGCATTACGCTTTTCTGTGAAAATGAACTAAAGCGGATCATCTTCTATCTATCTATTTATATAAATAAAAATGTAATGTTCGTTTGTTCCTACCGATTCCTTTGAAATTTTGACACAACGCTGCATTCGAATACGCACGTGTTTTTATATACTGTAATATACGTGTCTAAATTCCCCCCACTGAAGGAAGATGGTTAGGATTAAGGCTTACGGTAAAGAACTCTGCTTCTATTTATACTATTTTAGATGCGGGTTTTTGCGTTTTTGATTGCGTTTTAATAGGGTACGTCAACAGAATGTACACTAAGAATGGATTTTTCGATATTCCCCCGATGGAGAGAGGGACAGAATTAAGGCTTACTGTGAAGAACTTGGCTTCTATTATACTATTTTAGATGCGGGTTTTTGCGTTTGATTGCGTTTTAATAGGGTACGTCAAGAGAATGTGCACTAAGAAGAAATTTTTCGAAAATTTTCTCCCCCCACGGGAAAAGTGTTATACATTTATGATAGGAGCCACAACAACGCGTGGCGGGGTCTGCTAGTATTACATATAATAAATGATTACTTGCTTAGAAGACAACATAAAATTATTTTTTCTTCTATTTCATGTTTTCTTTTACTAAAAACAAGATTGCTTTAATATATTAAAAAAAAAAGAGAACTTCAACTGAAATTTAACACATACAGCTTCCCCTTGATAGTCCGACTTTTTTAATTCGACATGCTCAGTAGTCCGACGCACCTCCCTTCATGGCACCTGTCCCCGTTACGTATCTGCTTGCACAGAAGCATGTCGCGACGTGAATCTTCCCATCCAATTCTTACACGATGACACACATTTCCTGTGTTTTCTCTGAGCAGTTCTGTTCGAACAGTTGGAGTAGAAAATATTGTAAGCTACTGCTAGGAAAACAATGCAAAATATGTAATTATTTTCGGTAATCTGGACACTTTTGTTAACCCAACACCCATTTGGTTCCATACCTGTCGGACTATTAAACGGAGAGCTGTATTTTATAATTATTATTGCTTTTATAAATTCATATATTTTTATACGTATAATGCTATTTGCTGCATATAATAACAGAATAAATAAAGTGGAAGTAGATACTTTTTTAAAAACATATATTTGTCAAAGATTACTTGTGAATTTTAAAGTTAAATTTTACTACACACGAATATTTTGTATTTAAATACATTCAATTTTCTAGTGAAATGTGTTAGAACACTGTTAAACAAATGCAAATAATCACAGAATAAGTAATAAAATTCGTATCGGTTCAACAGTGCTGTATATTATCTTGGTGTCGTTAAAAATTATCGGGTAATAAATGCTTTTAAACATAGAATGAGTGATGTTTTTCGCGAAACCACTGTTAAAAAAAGTTTTTCTCTTTATATTTATTATTAGAAGCAGAAATGTGCTTCAGTGTATTACTTTATTTTCTTTATATTGAAATTAAATATACATAAAAATAATATACAGTGAAAACTGCTTAGGCGACCACCTGCATTCGACGGGCACCTGTCTAAACGGGCAAAAATTTCTGGCACGGAATAGTTTATCCATAGAGTCTTCGTATAAGTTACCTGTATTAAACGACCACCTGTGTAACGCGACCGCGGGCATCGATTTTTGGTCCGAAACAACATACAACACTTGTAATAAGCGACCACTTTCGCGAATGTATCTGGTCTAAACTATTGTAAGAACCCATCTCAACAACGTTTCCACCTCCTAATATAATGAATTAGTCTAAACTCTCGTTCGAACCCATCCCGGGCACTTCTCCCACCCTCGAAATTAGGTGCAGGTGTTAATAAATTAGTCTAGCAACAAAGGAAATTCATTTCAGTTTGTTGGAAAATGTCCGAAATGCAAAGTGCTGTCGTTAGAAGATCGTATTAAAGTTATCACAACAGCAATTAGCGGCGAAGTTTAACTGTGGGAAAACAAAATTTATTTTACCCTAGACCTACAGTATTTTCCTTGGGGGTGTAAAATATTGTACACGATACAATTAATCGGCTGATCTCATCGTTTGATAAAATCTATTTTTATTTATTTATTTTGAAGCTCATATACAGTACACGTGCGATAAATAGTTTCTGTATCAACCTACCTTATTTCCACGATATTTTTAGAAAAATAATATCCAAGTAATTTTCGCAGGCAAAATATTCAAAAAACAATAAACGCATTAATGCAAAAATCAGTTTTACTTCCTTTTTCGATTCCGCGATTGTAATGAAATCGTACAACGAAAAAATTAATAAAATCGTTTTATTATTAATTAATAATTTTTCTTATTGTACTTAATTAATTAAGAAAATATTAAATATTAAAAAAATACAGTATTTTTAAAGTTAAAATATGATTAAACTAACGAAAACCAAAAGCAAAGTGATGGAGAGATAGGATGCGCTTGTATATTGATGACGTAATTCACGTAACTGAGGGGCGGACGAAAAGAACCGAGTCGAATTAATTGTGCATTATAATCGAGAAAATACGAGTATTGTATTAATCTTTAAAATAAAATACAATACCAATAAAGCCCTATCGTTGAAAAAATTCGCTTATTTTTGCTCACCTCGAATTTTGCTTAGTAGAAATGGCTAAAAAGTGCGCAAAATACGTACGGAAATACGTTATTACAGGACCGACCTGTATTGGACGACCACCTGTCTAAAAGACCACTTTTTGAAGGAACCGTGGGTGGTCGCCACAGGCAGGTTTTACTGTATTACAATATTATAAAGCATATAATTATGGCGCTCGTATTAAAGAGCTTTAGTTACAGTATATATTTTTTTATTTTTTACATTTAAAATTAGTATCTAGCAGTGTGTAAAGATGGTACATACTTATCAAGTGCAAATTTAAGAAAGAAAATAAATAGGGTTGGTTACATATTTCATTTCTTTAGGCATTTTCATGTAGCACTAAAAATGTTTTTTAAATCCATAAATGAAGTCTTCACTTGACCTTTTTACACACTTATATGACCTTATATGTTAAATCTAAGGTGAAACCTGTGTTTAGACTAGTTTCTAATATGTCCCGTTTTGGTATCGGGAATTTGTAATCAACCGGATTAGCTCGGTCGATTATAAATTCTTGACACGAAAACGGTGATAAATTCGAACCGCCTCTTATTAAAGTTTTGTTAATTTAATTAACAATGTAGTGTAAAGGGACGTTATTAAGATGCAAAGATATTTTAAATTTTCGAACGTTTTCGTTCGTTTCTCACCCTCCTTCTTCAAATAAAATGGTGACAGAATGACAAAACCGGTAATTCGATTTTATAAAATTTCACGAGTTTAATTATTTTTATAAAATAAAATAAGCCAAATTATTCGAATACAAATTAAAGCAAATGAGATTAAAACGTTTTTTGTAAAATTTACATTTAATTAATTAATCCAAACGATTGGGTTTCGTTTTCAGCCTAACTTTAAATATAAATTAAGTTAAGATTTTACTTTTTGCACAAATTTTCATACTTATTTTGAATATTTGTTTAATATATTTCATACACGAAGAGAATAATTGAATAAAATAATTAAAGCTTATCGTTTATTCAATGAATAATATAAAATTAAAATAAATCAGAGACCATATTTTGGTCAATTATCTCTCGTTTCTTCTTTCACCGTCAAATCGAAAAACGAAATTCGTCTCTCATACACATTGTCGATTCTGGTGGTTCGTAACTATTTTGTCTTTGTTGTTGACGTCACGATTCTATTCGATTGATTATACACGTTCGGGTTATTTGCGCGCTCAACACGGTATAGGATTTTAACTAATGAAATTGTAAAATTTTCGAAAATGAGGAGTACATAATTATAGCTTACGCGGCAAGGAAAGCATGTGTTCAAATCAGGGCTGTGGAGTCGGAGTCGTGGAGTTTTGGTGTTTTAGCCTGAGTCGGAGTCGTCAAAAAATCCGCCGACTCCGACTCCTTTTTACTTATCAACTTGTTATGTATATAAAACGGAAAAGTATTGGAATCGTGTCAAATTTGACTCTCCAAATTTTTTTGCAAATCTACACGTTTGGAGACCTCCCGAACCGCTCAAAAAAGTCAATCAAGGGGGAAAATTCGCGCGCATGTGTGTGTTGGCGTCTAATATGTTTAATTTCTTTATTTTCTGTTTTCAGATATTAAACAATATCTCAGAACGGGTAAAGTTTAAGAAACGAAATGTGGCAGTGTAGCTTCCGTATAAAGGGGCATTAATACTATTACATTTTGGTTCTTAATTAATTA